CTTCCGATGAACTAGACATCTTTGACCTTTTCCACCTCTTTGGTTTTGAGTCTCACCTACGTTATGTATTGATTTTGTGATCTAAGACCTTTTCTTCTGTACATTCAGGCGGTGTGTGAGTGTGTACCATCTTCCTTCTTCGATGCCATCACCTGGCTGGGCTACTGTAACAGCACCATGAATCCAATTATATACCCAATGTTCATGAGGGATTTCAAAAGGGCTTTGGCACGGCTTCTACCCTGCTGTTCTTCATCTCAAGCCCCTCGTAGGCCATCGCTGCCACTTTCCCTTTCTCTACGCAACTCAGGGGAGCCACAACTACCCACTGAACCCCCCTCCCTTGTGTCTGAACCGCCACAACTACCGGCGACGGCAACAGATGCTGTTAACCTTCTCGATGTGGAACACGCTGGGATTGACCTGCCTCTGCTGCTGCCCAACCAGGTCGATACATTAGACGATTGATACGCCAACTGAGACAACAAAAGAAGTGCAATATACTGTGGACAGCAAGATATGTGACTTATAACTATAGGTTTATGAAAAAAACGTTGAAACATACAATGCTAAAAAAAAAAAAAATCAATGGGATAAGTGTTAATGGGATAGTCATGCCTAAACTGGAAGGCTGCATCGCTCCTCAAGGCAGATCATAGAGATTGTACATTTTGAACAGACTCAACAAGCATCCCAGTTCATTCATTACCATAACAACCAAAACAACAGATGGATAAAGCAGACGAGAGTGAAAGAAATCTCACTAATACTTCACACAATGTCAAGTGGGTTGTCTGTGGAACTAGAATTCACATCTTAATTAAACAGCAAACCACTTCTAATGAAGGGGGAAAATGGTATACATGAAATACTGATAGTTTTCACATAGCAGTTTATCACAAATTATATTGAGCAGTGCTTAAAAAATCAATAATAATTAGAGATGATATCCACAAATAACTTAAATAATATTATTAGCCAATATCAGAATGGCAAAAAGACAAGGTTCCAGTTGATTCTAGCTTATATTGCTAACTTACATTCTGGGTGGTGTCTAGATGGTAACCCTTCTTCTGCCAAAAGTCTAGTGAGATTCACATGTGACATTCAAACACTGTGTTTATTTGAGTTCCACAGCGACCCTACGCCCAACCCTCAATCCTGGTAGCAGCAAATGCGACTCTCAGGAGAGTTTCTTGGAACAAGGTATACCATCTAGACCCGACCCGCATTTTTTGAGTTGTGAATTATGGAAATGTCACGATTTCATTGCTCATGGGCTCAGAACCAGCAGGTTTGCCAATGACTAACTATTCATGTGCTTCAGTGTGCGACTGGTAGGTTGTGTTTGTGCGTTCAGTAGTCCAGTTCGTGTCATCCCAGTCCCAGGACGTGTGCTCACAGTATGTGTCACTTTCATCTTCTCTGTCTATTTTGCCTTCATCTTGAGATGGTTCAACATGATCCTTGACTCCGAGAGCACATGGCGAATGCGCGTTCCCTTGACAGGGTTCAGGGATGCCATCACATTCACTGATGGAGTCCAATAAATCAGATATATCAGGGATATCCCAGCCATTCTCAGAGTCCTTCCTCTCACACCGTTCCTTGTCTCCAGTCTGTTTCTTGTATTCATTTACATTTGTCTCTGTGGTGTCTGAGGTATCATTGTTTGAAATGTCCATGGATGGTTCCCCCTTGACTCTGCTCTGACCAGCTGGTTCTGGAGTGCCTGTTTTTTCCTGAGATAAATGTACCAGCTGTAGTTTGCCACTCAGGGCTCCAGCTTCTTCCCTGGTAGGAACCCCTACTGCTACTAGGATGGTGTCCATCTGACGCATGTAGTCCAGGTGTCCTTTTACCTAAGAGGTGGACAGAACATACCCAGTATTCATAAAGCAAGTGGAAAAGACTTTACATTCCCTAACAATTTTACAGTGCTTGCAGTGCATTATTATATTGATATCCTCATTATAATTTTAGTGGTGCTTGCAAACTTTTCAGAAAAATCAAGCTTTGGTGTATAACTCAGGCATGCATGATACCTCAAACCACGCAATGTATGTAAGTACTTTTCTTAAGCTATCAAATTTAAATTTTTTCATGCCCTGGTGGATGATAAAAGCAGTGAAAAACTCCCACTGACTTATATTATAAATAGAGAGGCCTGAACAAACATACAGAGAATCGGCTGGAATCCTTTGATTTAGGCCAGTAAGTAACCACCTAGCAACCATCCAGAATACCCTAGCAACAGACTAAAGGACACCATAACAATGTTTTGCACAGGTAAGGACCAGTGTAAAATGTACATAAGGGTAGATGCCATATTTAATTTTTCACAAATAAAAATATAGAATAGTCTTTTTAAGGGGTTGTAATGTTTTTAACTTGGCTGACTGATACTTTGCTCACTGATTTAATTTATTTTCACTATAGCTGCTTTGACATTGCAACATCACATTATGTGACTAACTTTAGCTAAGTTTCTATATGAACAGCGAGATTAAAATGGCTCCGACAAACCTAAAACCGTAACACTATTCTCTTACAAGCACTGGTATTTATTTCAGGAAATGCAAATTTAGTTGCTCATTAACATTTCTTCACATGCCAAACAAAGGCGCAATTCTTCACATGCCTCACATTGCAGTCGCATAATAATTATGTATTACATGAAAATCATTTTACTGCTTTCACGAAAAAAGCATGACATGACAAAAGATACAAAGCATTTCTTGATTTGTTCTGGATTAAGGCAGGTGTGATGTAACCTGTATTCTGTGTCTATGAGTTAAGCAAGATCTCAGATCCAGTCCTTTGTTTACAATATGTCACATGGATGGCTGGCATGATGACCTCTGTTGAGATGCACAGGCTATCTGTTGCTCAGTGTAACTTAGAAGGCATCGTTACGAATGGATCATTTTAAGTTCAAGTGACTTGATTTTTTTACCTTTTGTGCCTTGCATAAAATAACACTCTTTTTAGGTCATTTTCCATTTTTTGGATTTAAGGTCTCCACTTGAATACCAACGAGCACAAATTCCTCCGACAGTAATTACAGTAATTGTAGTCTTTCATGGGTGACAATATAACAATGCCCTTTCTATTCACGGCAGGGGGTGTTCTGCAAAAAGCATTAAATCATTTTTGTCCAAAAAAGTAACTTCAGATGACTTCAAATCTTAGCCAACTGGAAGGAAATGAAACTTCGACTCTGCGATAATATAATGTCAAGCCATTGTGTGGAATTGTTACTTTTACAGCCAGTAAACTGAATCTGAATCAAAATGCATCTCACAGACACCAAGAATATTTAAAAAAAAACATCTACCGAGAACATCAGGTACTTAATGCTCAGTGCACAAATGCATTTGCTTACCACTGATGACAGATCAACATTGATTATTTTGCGGTCTTGCGAACTGATTGGCTGCAGCCCAGCAACAGACAGTTGGACAGATGAACTTCTATACAGGAATCCAAGAAGCCAATCCCCTCTAAACCAATAAAAACAAAAAGAAACATATTTACGTATTTAGTTAATGCAATAACTAGGACTTTCAATTAAAATTAACAATAGTTATTACAAATTATTAAATGTAGTAAACAAAATCATAATCTCCAGATTTGTTTGCAGTTAACATGTTGTGACTTCCTGTTACTTTTTAATAAATAACTAAATGAATAAATTGTCAATTCTAATTCTTCATCTGGTGGCCTAAAATGTAATTCTGTAAATGTGTCATTTAAATTTGACTGAAGACTGGAGTAATGATGCTGAAAATTCAGCTTTGCATCACAGGGATAAATTACAATTTAAAATATATTCAAATAGAAAATACTTTTTTTAAAACTGTCATATCATCTGTTTTTACTGAGCATGAAAGACTTCTTCCAAAAACATTTTAAGAAATCTTACCGGACTCAAAAGTTTGAAAAGTAGTGTATTTGAATACTGCAAATTTGAATACTTATGGTAAGGGATTTGAACATACCCCTGACCCTCAGTAGGAGTAATATTAATAGTGTCTTACTTGCAATATCCATTAACAATCTTCCCAGCCACTACCCTGGACAGTCGCTGCCATGCTTTCTCCGATCCGTCCACAGGGGCCCCCAGCAACACCACATCCTCCACCACACCTTCACTACCTGCCCGATAATAAGAGACAAAAGTCCTTCAATGGGCTCTGTGCGATCAGATTCTCATTTGCAGCCTCACACCTCTCAGATTCCATCTTTCATTACGATGACAAAGAGAACACGACTCAATCTGGCTTGCAGGAAATTTGGCCATGTCCAGCTCTCTCATGTGGACACTTCTTGAGACACAAGGTCTTAAAGACAAAAGGATGTTCCCTCGTTATCATCGACTCATTAAAATGAATAAAAAGTGTACCTTGATCATTAGCGAGCTCTTCTAGGCAGAAGTAGATGACACGAGCTCCAAGGCTAAAGCCAATTAGATTGACAGGCCGCTTTCCCTGCAGAAAGAAAGAAGATAATTATACTCACATTTGAAAGGAATATTCTGGGTTAATATTATATAGATGATTAACTCTATACAGCCAACTGTACCATGTTTAATATGTAATAAGGTCTTTAAATAAACAATATGATCATGCTGAAAAACCTGTTGTACACAATAAACTACACGCCTTCTGTCATCTAATTAATAGTTTATACTTTTTTAGCAAACAAAAGGCCTAGAACTGTAAAAATGTCTGCCTTCAGGTTGTGGTTCATGTGTTTATTTTTTTTGTGTGTGTGTGAAAATTTTACTGATTTTTAAAAAGAAAATATAAGTAAGCATTATATTGTTATTAATATTTCAAGATGACCATTTACTGGACTGAAGCAGCTTAGGTTTACTTATCCATTCTTCATTTTTCTGAAAAATCATGTTAAAATGTATCAGGCTTTTGAGGAACATTTATTTGTCCATTTCTCAATTATCATTGTATTGCGTTGCATTATATGTTTTGAAACTACATTGCTTTGATAATAAAACATTTAAATATCTTACCGAGACATCTTATTGAAAGATACAGAGTGGCAATGGATATTCATATGCATTTTATGTAACTAGTCTGTTTTACCGTAATATAAACCAAATTTATTTATCAGGATTTCATCTGACCCTTTGGCCATATAAATATCAGCAACTGATTCAAATTGCATATTTTTGCTCAGTTTGGGCCTCTGAATAAAACCAAGGTGTTTTTTCTCCTCAAGTATGAGCCACAGATACAGTCCTTCGAGCTTGTATGTGACCCCTAACATTTTCCGAATTAGTCATTTCAAGCCACATTGAACTGAAATCGTCAAAGACTAAGGAGAATCTTGAGGAAGTCGATGTCTTGCATGACTCCGCTTGACTCTGACCTGCCGTCGGCTCCGGAGCACCTGGGCCAGGTGTTTTCCCACCTCTGCTGATCGGCTCAGGCACACTCCCCAGGGGTTGTCGATCACACTGGCCACAGCCAGCAGAGACGCAGGCCATGTCAGAGCCGTTACTATGCCTGAACACAGACAAAAGAGTGAGCAATGCGGTTATACTCCAGGTGGATGCTGCACACTGGTGGTGGATGAGGAGATACCCCCTGACAATGTAAAGCGCTTTGAGTGCCTAGAAAAGCGCTATATAAATGTAATGAATTATTATTATTATTATTATACTGGACACCTAAAGCAATGCGTGACAATTAAAATCTTCTTTCATGATGCTACAATTAAATGCACTAATAAAGTGCATTTAATTAGTGCATTTACAATTAAGGCACTTTCCAAAAGGGTATAAAATAGGGTCGGAAAAATGAAGTAATATGTTGTTCAGGAGGACAAATGGTAACACTTTAGAATAGGGAACACTTATTCATTATTAACTACGACTTTTCCCTCAATACATTCCTAATTTGCTGCTTATTAATAGTTAGTAAGGTAGTTGTTAAATTTAGGTATTAGGTAGGATTAGGGATATAGAATAAGGCATTAATATGTGCTTAATTAGTACTAATAAATGGCTAATATTCTAGTAATATGCATGCTAATAAGCAACTAGTTAAGAGACTCTAAAATAAAGTGTTACCGGTCAAACAAAATACTATATGAGCTATTGTAATCCTGTTATCAAATACAGTTTAAACTTTTCCATAAATAGAGAACATGAAAAAAACCTCAATATTAAATATGCAAATGTATTTATACATGCACACACACACACATATACATATATATATATATATTTTTTTTTTTTTATTTTTTTTTTTTTTTTTTTTTTTTTTTTATACAATTCACTGATTAAATTGGCAGTAAAACACCAACAAATTT